AGCCCTGCACCTTGTTGTCTCGGATTCTCCAGCATCTGCAGTTCCTACTATCTCTTACGCATATGTGTTACGTGGTCCTTGGTCTCGGGTAGTGCGCATGCGCTCTGCAGGCCACACCTCCCATAGCTGGTACGCGTGCGCGGTGCGCTTGGTTGTCCTCGTGGTCAGTAAGCCGCTGCTCGCCATGTTGGTGCTATTTGAGACCGCTGCTGGATATGCTATCTTTAAGGTACTCGATACTGAGTTTTATTTCTCTGGAATAGTCTGTTGCCTCTGCGTTTGGCCTTTTTCCCTTCCTCACATTTCCCTTTTCCACTCTCTATCTAGCTTTCGCGCTCTCCTTGTATTTCTTTCCCTTCGTCGGGCCTTTCGTTTTCCTCCCGGGCCTTCCTTTCCCTTCCTCATTGATGAACTTTTTCCCCCACCATTCAGCCGGACACCCCTTTCTCCCCAGCCCTCTCTCCACATCCTACTTTTCTCGCTCACTCGCGCTCTCTCTCTCTCATCTCCCACCCCGCCGGCCGCCTCTTCCCCACCCGCCGCCGCCTCCTTACCCGTGTTCCCCGCCCGCCCCGGTTATGCATGTTCATACATCCCTCAGGGCACGTAGATAAAAGAAAGGTTAGAAGGCATATAGGATACTTGACGTTATCAGCCGAGGCTTTGAATACACGAGTAGACAGGTTATACTGTAGCTGTATTCAACGTTGATTCGTCCACAACTAGAATATTGTGTGCTGTTCAAGTCCCCGCACTTTAGGAAGAATATGATTGCATTAGAGAGGGTGCAGAGGACACTTCCCAGGATGTTAACTGAACCAGAGAGCGTTAGCGATGGAGAGGGGTTGGACACGCTGTGTCAAAAACAGAAACTAAGCACGTCTGGTAGAGAGAACTAATGTTTCGAGTCCAGTGATCCTTTTTCAGAACTGAAGTGGATTTGAAAGATTAACTCTGCTTTTTCTTCCAGACCTGAGTTTTCCCAGCAGTTTCTGGTTTTGTTTTAGATCTTCAACATTTGCAGTTCTTTGTTTAATTTGTTTGATACTTGGATTGGTTTCCTTGGGAGTAGAGGAGACTGCGTCTTTTCTCTTCTGGTTTCTCATTCACTTTTGTTTTCTTTCTTATTACTTTTATTCAGGCTTAAAGCACTCACCTTAAACCCATACTTCTAAACTTTAAACCAAAAATTAATTTTTAATGTGGTTTGATTGCTTCACCAAAATGCTATTTTACCATGTACTGTCCTCCTCACTTCATATTAACAGCCATTTAAAGTTTTTTTGAGAAGATTTGCAGCTCGGGTTGTGGATGATGTTGTAGACATGTTCACCAAGCCAGTGGGTTTGGTTGCAGATGTTTCACCATCCTGCTAGATAACATCATCAGTACACCATAAGTGAAGTGTTGATGTTTTGTCTTGCTTGTTATTGATATGCATCGGTTTGTTGGGGTGTTTAGTACCACTTCGGGTTCTGTGTTTCAGTTGTTTGTACACAGGGTCTTAATGGCCATTCTTTGTCTCTAATTCTGGGTATTTGGTAGCAACTCACTTTGATAATAAACAAGGGTATTACAGCTGAACCATGTCTTTGGCCATGCAGAGCTGCCACTATATTTTCTGCTGGATTTGGTACTGGTTGTGTTTTTCTGAGTCGTGGCTGCAGAAGCTGATTTGGGAAAGTTTGTTGTGACCAGTCTGAACTGTTTTCATCTGATCTTTTTTGCCCGCCCCCCCCCTAACCATAGGTCCTGGATGAGAATAAACTCCGTGAAGTGGACAACTTATGGCGGGAGTTTGAAACAGCTGAAAAAGCAAATAAACTGTAAGTTACTTCGATTTGTTTATTCCTTCAATGGCAACATGTAATCTTTATTTGTGAGTGCCAATATTTGGTCCAGCACTGGAGCAATGATGATGACTCTGTCACTCTTCCTGATTAAGTACTGAGGGGTTCTCCAGTCACTACCTCATCTGAGACTGCCAGTGTTGGATTGTGTAATAACCACCCACTTAAAGGTGCATGATATTAGTAATGACTGAGTTAGCTTTTCAGTGTGTGTATTCAGTATGAATAAAGATGTGGGAAAGGAGTTTTGCAGACAAGGCTCTCCAGGTTAGCTGCTCAAAATGTTTCCATATTCACAGGTGGAATGTTAGATGGTGGTTTTATGATTTCATTCTATCTATGCCTTAACATCCTTAGGTGCAGTTTGAGTAAAGGTTACAGGAAAGCAAAGGGAGGTTCGAAGACAGACCTTCTGTTTCTTTTTCAATACGTGATGTGCTCAGGCGAGCATAATAAATCTTCTGTTTTGACTGAGAGCATCTGACTCGTGCACATCAGAGTTCCTGGTAGAACAAACTGAAATAGCTGGAGCTACTCCGGTCTGGCAGCATCTGTAGAGAGAAAACAGTTAACCATTTTGAGCCCTCCTGAAGAAGGGTCCCGGAACTTAAAACGTTGACCTTGTTTTCTCTCCACATGCTGCCAGATGTGCTGAGTTTTTCCAGCAATTGGTTTTTGTTTATTACTGCATGTGCAGTTCTTCGTTGTATTTTAGAATTTTCTCGTGTTGCTGGTCATATGTTTCACCATCTGTCTGAACTCAAAGGGAAGTTAGCCAGAATATTTGCTGATTCACATGTCCTGTGTGTGTGAGAGAGACAGACAGACAGACAGTGTGCTTGGAATTGGCTGTAATGCCATAGTTGAATACCTTTGGGAACAGGTATGTAATTCATTGCATTGGCCTGTGCCACATAAAGAATGCCCATTTGGGGAAGGTACTAGTGAAATTAAATGGAGCACAATTTGGTATATTGACTGGAGGAGGGCAAGAGAAAATAAACAAGTGTTTTGTATTTTCATCTCTTTCCTGTCTGCAGTGTGAAGTTAAAACATTTTGAAAAATTTCAAGATACCACAGAAGCTCTCGCAGGTAAGGAAGTATCAATCCACTGTTGTTAACACTGAAAACAGACAGTCAAGCCTGCTTGAATTAAAATAGCCCACATTGGAAATTAAGGCAATGTCAGTTAGCATTCAGGCCTGCAAAATACTAGTGTGCTTTTCCTCCTAACATTTGAAGAGAATTGGTCTAATAGTGAAAACTGAGCAGAATTAGAAAAGAACTGGCCACGTACCAGGCCTTTGGTATATCCCAAGGAATCTCTCGGATAAGATGACAAGATTTCACTTTATTCATTAAGTCTCATTAGGAGATTTTTAAATTTACATGTGGGACGTTGATATCGCCTGCTGGGCCAGCATTAATTGCCTGTTTTCTGGTTACTTTTGACAAGGCAGTGGTAAGCTCCCTTCTTGAACTGCTTCATTGTGTGCCCTGCAGGTAGACCCCAATGCTATTTGGGAAGGAATTCTGGTGACCTGCATCCAGTCTCACTTACCACTTAAATTCTGAAAATCTAGTTGAAAATTTAATGTGAAGGGCATGTCACCAATTTACTTTTTCAAAAATCCTTGAAGATGAAATAGTATGAACTTTCATGATAGGACACTTGGTTGCATTTGAGAGGGGGCTGAGAAGTTAGAACTGCTGGGAAATAATAATTTAGAGCATGAGGTGGTGTATTGAATCTTAATTTTAGTTCAGTGTGCATGTAGGGAAGAAAGTTACTAAGGTATGACATTATTTGGAAAGTTCTAAGCATGTTATATCCACAAAGCTTAAAAGTGTTTAATGGGAGCTCATGAAGTTAGTGATATTTATTGGATTCTGTAACAGTAGATTGCGTCCAAGCAAGACTGTCTGTATTTTTTAAAGATAACAAGGTGTAGAGCTGGATGAACACAGCAGGCCAAGCAGCATCAGAGGAGCAGGAAAGCTGACATTTCGGGCCTAGACCCTTCTTCAGAAATCGGGGAGTGGAAGGGGGTTGCGAAGTAAATAGGGAGAGAGGGGGAGGCGGATAGAAGATGGATAGAGGAGAAGATAGGTGGAGAGGAGACAGACAGGTCAAAGAGGTGGGGATGGAGCCAGTAAAGGTGAGTGTAAGTGGGGAGTTAGGGAGGAGATAGGTCAGTCCAGGGAGGATGGACAAGTCAAGGGGGCGGGATGAGGTTAGTGGGTAGGAGATGGGGGTGGGGATAGTGGGAGGAAGGACAGGTTAGGGAGGCGGGGATGAGCTGGGCTGGTTTTGGGATGTGGTAGGGGGAGGGGAGATTTTGAAGCTTGTGAAGTTCACATTGATACCATTGGGCTGCAGGGTTCCCAAGCGGAATATGAGTTGCTGTTCCTGCAACCTTCGGGTGGCATCGTTGTGGTACTGCAGGAGGCCCAGGATGGACATGTCGTCTGAGGAATGGGAGGGGGAGTTGAAATGGTTCGTGACTGGGCGGTGCAGTTGTTTAGTGTTTAGGTTTGCACTAAACAACTGCACCTCCCACTGGTTCGCACTAAACAACTGCACCTCTCGGTCGCGAACCATTTCAACACCCCCTCCCCCTCCTATGCCGCCCAAAGGTTGCAGAAACAGCACCTCCTATTCCGCTTGGGAACCCTGCAGCCCAATGGTATCGATGTGGACTTCACAAGCTTCAAAATCTCCCCTCCCCCTACTGCATCCCAAAACCAGCCCAGCTCGTCCCTTCCTCCCACCTATCCCCTCCTCCCGCCTCAAGCCCCACCCCCATCTCCTACGTACTAACCTCATCCTGCCCCCTTGACCTGACCGACCTACACTCTCCTTTACTGGCTCCGTCCCCGCCTCTTTGACCTGTCTGTCTCCTCTCCACCTATCTTCTCCTCTATCCATCTTCTATCCGCCTTCCCCCTCTCCCTATTTATTTCAGAACCCCCTTCCCCTCCCCCATTTCTGAAGAAGGGTCTATGCCTGAAACGTCAGCCTTCCTGCTTCTCTGATGCTGCTTGGCCTGCTGTTCATCCAGCTCTACACCTTGTTATCTCAGATTCTCCAGCATCTGCAGTTCCTACTATCTGTATTTTTTAAAGTCTGATTTTGTTCTGTAGCTGCGACTGCCTTGGTGGAAGGTAAGCTTGGTAAAAGCCTGAAGAAAGTACTGAAGAAAATAGCTGCCAAGGAAGCACATGAGCAGTTGGCTGTTGCAGATGCCAAACTTGGAGGTGTCATAAAGGTAGGAAAACTATCTAACATTTCCGAAACAGTGAGCAACGCATTTTGACTGAAAGTACGCAAACGAAACATCAGAAGGATTGCCTCACTGTTGTAATCTTTTGTTTAGACATTTGCAGCCTTCTGTTTCCCTTCCAATTGCAATTTAATGAGTTTCTTGATCTTCAAATTACATTTGGATATGGAGATTGTTCATGTTTGGCACTTATTGTCAAGTAGCAGTGGACTCGACTCGTTGAAGCATACCATCAAGCATTAACTTGCCAAGTTGTGCTCTTATAATTTAGTAATAATCATATTACTGTTAGACCTGACAGGTCACCTGTGCCACAGTGACTATCAAGACTTTGTCCTCCCTGTGGAGGCCGGGGGAAGTATCAGTGGCAAAGAAAGGGTGATGGAAGGATTGGGGGCCAGAGTTTGGGTGGCGTGAGGGGATAGAAAGATGAACAAGGGAGGGAGAGTTGAGGGTGGGCAACGGTAAGGAGGAACGGCACGAGGGAGTGATTGGGTGAACTGGGTCATAAGGGGTGGAGAATGTTGGGAAAGTGGGATCAAGGAGCAGGAGCTGGTGAGGATAGAGGAAGGGAAGAAAGGTGCAAGTGAGGATGTGTGAAGGAGGTGAGGGTTCAACTAGTTGAAGGCCAGAGAGCTTATGAGTTGGGAGTGGGAGGGTGTTGCAAGCTCTTACTGCCATTTCCCCAAAAATTCTCTTCGCAAGAAGGCTAGGATATTAGAAAACTTCAGACTGACAGGCCCCTGGACCCAATTTTAGTATGAGTTCTGCCAAGGCCAACTCTGAGTTTGTGCTACCAGAGATGCAATAAACTCTGTTTGTATTAAAAATAAATTTTTAAATATGACCCAGACT